CTACAGAATACAATTTGAATTATTGAAAATTACTATGTTATTTAGTAAATTTTTTTTCCGTTAGAGCAAGTGAATAAGGACGCATACTATATGTTTTAGTAAAAAAGAGAGACAGAGTCCAGTAGTTTGCGACGCCACCACCGAAAGATGAACAACTACTGTATGGAGGGTCTTATTATGGGACTGAACAGAAAATTTAGATGTTCCCTCTGATGGCGTAAGGGGATAAACCTTAAGCCTGTGGCGGAGAGGATACCGGGTTCGAATCCTCGGTGATACAGAATTATTTTTTCGGTGAACTAAACTTCTTTTTCATTTGAGTGATAGAAATTTACGATGTTGCATCGTATAAATTATAATGTTTGAGTTCTGGTCCGGCACTACAATGTGATCTATACTAAAAATTACGATGTTTCCATCGTAATTTTTCGTACAATTTTCTTCCCGTGTATTATATACTGTTTGAGGTGATTCGGACCAGTAGATTTTGAGAAATCTCAAAAATAAAAAATTCGAAAAACTGTTTTTTTGGAATAACTTTTTAACAGCTCTACTGATCGATTCCAAAAACTAATCAGCTCTTAAGCTTGAAAAACTACATCGATCGCCGTCAACGCGATCGAGATCGGTTAATTCGTTCGTGAGATATCGTTGACAAAAAATTTAGCAACAAGTGTTTTTTTAACATAACTCCGACATTTCTTTTCGGATCGTTTTTGATATAATGATATAACTATAAGAGCTCAAAAAATCTCGCCGATCGTCTCCAAGAACGTCAAAATCGGTTGATTGGTTCGTGAGTTATCGTTGTTGACAAAATTCAGAAAAAGTGAATTTTTTTAATTTCTCCAAAATTTTCGGTCTGATCAATTTGTGATCAGTAGTAAATCATAGAATACAAAAAACTGCATTGAATGTTGCAAACCGCGTGAAAAACAATTTACCCATTCAAAAGTAATTGCAGTTTAAAAATTTTGAGAACATTGTTTTATTAAACTTCTATCAGACTTCGTGACGTTTTTAAAACGTTGAGATCTGATGAAAATTCGATTTTTGCAAAACGGGGTAGAACCATTAACTTCCCGATTTTCGAAAATCTTTAATTTCCTTAGCGGGAAGTTAAAAAAATAAATTGGTCGGAGTTCGAGAAATTGACAGTTATTTCGAAAAAATCGAAATATTTTATAGATCCGGACTTCTGAAACTTTTTTCGTATTTTTTTTTATTTGGTGTGGTTCCAATCGGTCAATTTTTGGAAAAGCTCTGGCGATTTAAAAAAAAAAGAGCGGTTTCGTTCAAAAATTCGTAACTTTTTTTGAGTTGGGTAAAAAAATCTGAAATAATTCCTAAAAATTTCTTTTGGGGGGTAGAAAAAGATAGAAAACTTTGAGCGTAAAAAATTTGTCGATTTGGCATGGAATGACCCATATATTCTTTATTCAAAATGTTATTAACTTAAAAAAAAATCAAGTCTCTATCTAATAAAATAAAATTTTTGTTTCAAAAAAGTCAAAACAATGCTTAAAAAAATTTTCATTACGATTAAAGCCCTCGTACCTGATTAGGAACCAGTACCTGCTCACTTCATGTATTTGTATGTCTATATTCACAAATTAAATCTAAATTAAATATAGATATACAAATACATGGAGTGAGCAGGTACGGATTCCTGAGTAGCTACTGGGGCTCTTACCTTATATATAAATTGCAAAAATCAAATAAAAATAGTGAAATAAAAGTAAAATACCATAAAAGAGAAAATTTTTTGTTGCTTACTTAGAAATTTAAAGCATCATATAATTTTATTGTAAAGTAGAAAACTAAAGCAATGTATAATACAAACCAATTCATTATGATTGTCAAGATGTGCCGTAGTATGACCATATGGAAAAAGAAGTAACTGTGAATAACTATGGAAAGCTATGTAGGCGAAAAATTTATCACCAATTGACGTAATATATTCAGACATTGTTTTGGTCTCTATATCAGAAAATGCACTTGAACCAGCATATGTTTCAGCACAAGGAAAACTACTCGCTCCACCTTCTACAAGTGATTAGAAAAACAATGCAATAGCAATACAATGAATTTGTTATTATTTATCTTTAAAAAATCAACTTACGGTTCCATTTGTAACCCCAATTCCGGTTAGGGTCTGATCCATAACATATTTTGGTATAAGGTTTCCTAGTTTTACGCCACAATCGGTCCTGAACAAACAAAAAAAATAATAAATGGTGGAAATAGAAAGGGAAATGGCATTGACATTATTAGATACGAGCAAATAAACTGTGGGGAACACCTGTATGCATACTAATGGTTAATTTTAATTGAATTCAATATTTAATTACAATTACACTTACCTTGTCGTGAGTATACGCAAAACCGTCTGGGTTGAATACCGGAAATATATACCAATCATGCTTCTCTGCTAATTCTCTGACCTCTGTTTGTTGACTAGTGAGTAATTCATTAAGTATGAAGGTCACAGTGGCTGAGGTAATCCATTCTCGTGCATGAATATTACCCTCAATAAAAATTCCAGGATTACCTTTTTTAAATGACACTTTAACACCCTTTATTTCTCTACCTTCATATGTTTTTCCAGCTACAACTACTTTCACTTTATCTGGATATGTTTTTTCCAACGAGTCTAACCACGCATAAATCTCTTCCAAAGAGTGATAACTTTGCCAATCAAATTCGGCACTAATTAATTTATTGTGCGACAAAATTTCATTTTCCATTAAATCTTGGACATTTTCAATGTGTACCTTACATTCCATTCCAGATGCATTCATTAATTGTTTAAACTCTTTTAGTTTCTTAGGAGAAACCATTACATCTGCAGAACTGTTTACAAAGTGTGGACCATCCCAGAAGGAGTACTAAAATATATTTTTTTAATTATTATAATAAAATAAACTGATTAAATTTTTTTTTTTTTAGTTTGTCAAATAATACTGTACCCCTGATATTTCCGATATCTCATGCAGAAAATTATTTTGTTGAGTAGTTTTGGGGACTACTCTGAATACTTGATAATTGTCATACCGTCTGGTTTGACCTGCTGCTAATCCTAACAAAGCCACTAGAATTCCTAATCGAAGCATTTCTTTAGAAAAAAAAAAAAAAATTTATTTAGTTTATAAAAAGTTGAAAGAAAATAAGAATGAAATTTCCGAAGAAGCATTAGAATTCATTTCTATGATTAATATAATTTTGTTTTTTACACAAATGAAAATGAAATATTACCCCGATGACAAAACATAACTATTTAATTTAGTCTAGTAAATTCATTCCGCAAAAAATATATGGATCATTCCTCCGTATAAAATCATTTTTTCGAGAAGAATCCTGACAGTGGTTTTCAAATTCTGTAGTAGTACTTTCTATATTTAAATAATAATAAAACAAATTCCTGAAAATTTAGACCCTTGTAGTATCAAGTTCTTTTAAGGTACTAATTTTTTTCACGTCGCCGAATTTCAAGTTTGTTACTTTTTCAATCATTTTTTGGAACAAATACAATTTTAATCACATTGCAAATATTGAACTAAAAAAAAAAAACAAAAATAAAACATTTTTTTTAATCTTACAGTGAGATATTAACAAATTTTGATATTTTTTCTAAATCCTGAGAATTTTTTACACACAATAAGACTTTATTGCGATGAGCTCGTTTTTTAATTCAAATATAGATAAAAAAAAAAAATTGTGACTGTGCTATGTTACTTTTTTTTGATAATATTGAATGTTTTTAATAAAAAATATAAGCAGTCATAGGAATCGTAGAAATTTACTCTCATTTCACTCTCGATTTTTTATAGAGTCCAATATTGTGAACCCATAAGTTTTGCCCCTTCCAAAAATGACTCAGCGTGGCTAAAGAAGTTTTCACTTTAAAAAACATTTATTTCCATAATTTTCAACTTGAAGAATCCAAATAATATATGGGCCTTTTAAACAACTTAAATACTGAATCAAATTTAAATTTTCGATTTCACAAAATTTGTCACATGTTACTGATTATTTTGCAATTTTGTAAGAGCAATTTTAGGCTTATAACTATACATCATTTCTTAAAACAATTGTTGTATTTCGACAATAAAATTTTTTTTTTAAATTTAATGTAGAAAACAATTCCACAAAATTTAAAAACGGCCGGTGGGGTAGCCAAAAATGATTTTATATGGTTGACTGACCCATATGCACTGAAAAAATTCAACGTTGGACTCACAATGTTTTTTTTACAGAAAGGGGATAAAATAAGTAGTTGAGTCGATCTATTTTTTATAGACACTTTAAGTTTGCGTAAATAAATATAAAATTTTCAAATCACAATATTATTTTTACGTAACGTGAAAATCTTCACAATTATTTGAAACGAATTCACAATATTTTTATATTTTTTAAAATACTTGATAAATCATTTAATCAAAAGCTATAAAATTAATAAAATAATCAAAACTATACTCTGGTCGCAAAATTTAATTCTACAATTCAACATAAAAATTAACATTAATGCAAAGAAATGCGATACACACTTATAAAAATGTAAAATACGCCTTACCTTTTTCAAGTGTGCCACTCAATAGTACAATCCTCAGTAACGCTGCAGATATTTATTTACTTTTATATACGCACGACGCGAATACACCCGCATTCATCACTGATTGTTGAAGTTATTTGAAATTCCTATCTCTACCGTCATATCATTTACTTGATTAGGAAAAAAAATACTGGTAGCAAAAAATTTCTCTGATTATCAAATAAGAACGTAATTGATTGGTTTACTGATTACATCGATTAAAAAAAAATCATCGGTATCAATTATGAAATTTAAATAAAGGATTAAGTTTTTAAATATTTATTATATTAATAACTTATTCACAAATATATTAATTTGAAGGAAAAGCGTAGGATAAACTAATCTATCATATTTATAAAGGTACATTCATGATTTAAGTCGTTCAAAAGGCTGAAATGAATAATAAATACAATTAAATAGTTATTTCGTTTCTGCATCGACAAATCAACAATAAATTTCACTTTTCCACCATTATCTATTGATAAAATTTAATAATAACTCGTACTTCGACTAATTGATAAAACAGTAACTAGCTATCTAGATATTACTGATAATTGGTTCAAATCGGTACTTAAATAAATAATAATGATATCTGCGGGGTATTCTAAGCCAAATCTGACAGTAGGCATGAAAAATTTCAATTTTTGATTTCTTTAAATTGGACAAATTTTTTGGTAGAATAAAAGAAAAATCCACATTTCTTTGTGTGCTTATAACATAAAATGTGACGTTACAGAGTTTATTATTTTAATTTTTTTCGAATCAATGACATAGCTTTTAAGTTTTGACAGATCATAACTATATTTTTATAGTCCTATCATGCCATAGGAATATCACAAAATTATTTAAAATTAAAATTTATGAGTTAAAGTTTGTATTTGTTACCTGAAATTATATAAAATCAGAAAATGTTTTTGTAACTATTTGCTATGATTATGAAAAAAAATTAGGAGAGTGGTTGACCCTGAAGGCCATCCCTGCAACTTCCGGCCAATTCCATACCTATAGGTGCCTATAGGCGCTTAAAATTGCACTTATAACATTTTTGCACCCTTCGAGCTCAAAAATACAATTTATGTGTTATTTTGAGCTCTCTGAGCTCATAGAGATAGCTTTTTTATGCTTTTGATCTCTTCGAGCTCAAAAGTCTGATGAGGTTTGATAAAACACTATTTTTTAAATTTTCAAACCGCAATAACTTTTGAATGAATGAACTGATTTTTACGCGGTTGGCGGCATTCGACGCAGTTTGTGTGTATGTATGTATGTGTGTGTGTTTTTTTATTTTTTTTTTTTTTAATTTAAGGGGGGGGGGAATCCTTTTTACGGATTCTAGGCATAGCTGTTTGGCCTGGATATGTGGCGACTCGACGCAGCGACATACTAAAACTCGACGCTAACGCCCCTACCCACTAAACCCTAAACCCCTTTCCTCTAATCCCTCATGGAAACCGCCGTTAGGCATTACTTCGTGGGGGGGAGGATATAGCTACTGCTCTTCCTTCTGGTAGCTAAGGTGTTATTTTACCTTTCTTCTAGTTGTTGTCATTTGCTCTTCTTCTGTCGATGGAACGCAAGTCTATGATGATTTCTGTTGGAAATGTGCTGATGGCGTTCCAGGAGGCTCTTGATGACAACATTGCTTCTACTATTGTATCTGGTTGGATTTTCTTCTTCAGGATCATCTCCAGCTCATCTCGCTGTGGATAAAATCGTGGGCACTCAAAGAAAACGTGCTCCGCGTCTTCATTGATTCCTGAACAGGACGGGCACTCCGATGAATCATCATGCTTGAAGCGGTGAAGATACGTCCGAAAACATCCATGTCCTGACAACATCTGCGTCAGATAGTAATTGACCTCGCCATGACTTCGGTTTAGCCAAACGTCGATCTTCGGTATGAGACGGTGTGTTCATCTTCCTGTGGTCGCGGCGTCCCACTGCGATTGCCATCGTGCTATGCTGTTCTGCCGTTCTTCAGCTCTGAGTTCCTCGGCACTTAGTGTGGTTGTCCTCTTTCGTTGGTAAAGGTTCCGTCTTTCCTCAGCTAGGACTCTGAGCGGCAAAGTTCCGGAAATGACACACACTGCTACTTCTGATATCGTGCGAAATGCACTGGATAGTCTTACAGCGCTCAGTCGATATACTGGTCCAGCTTTTCTCCATGATTCTTGCAACTCCAGCGCGTCTGCCCAAATGGATATTCCATATGTGAGCACCGATGTGACAACTGATGATAGTAGTAGTCTCCTGCTCTCCTTTGGGCCTCCGATGTTCGGCATCAATCGTGCGAGGCTAGCTCTTACTACTGATGCTTTGGCACTGACGTGTTCTACCTGCTGCTTGAAGTTGAGTCGGGCATCAAGCATCACTCCCAAATATCGGATATAAGGTTGTGATGTGATTTCTTGGTCTCCGACTTTCAGGTTGATTGTTTCTACCACTTTTCTGCTGGATATAAGCACTTTTGACTGGACTTTTTGCCACTCATTCATCTCCTTTTTTCCGACGTTCTGTGTTACCACGTTTTTCGGAGGACTTGGTTTAAGGTCCTTCTTCTTCTTAGTACGGCTGCAGATGAAACCGCTATCGCACTCGTCTTCATCACGGCATTACCGTGTTGCTGTTGGATCTCCTGCCATTCTTTGTCCAGTTTTTTGAACCTCCTCAGGGCACTGCAGATGTTCGTCGACTTCGACTTGATCTCCTTGTGGACATTTTGCTTGGTTTGGAGAAAGTCCTGCAGTCCACTGACTAGCTCCTCCAGATGTACCAGAGCATCTGTCCTCTTCATCTTTGCACTAAGTAGCAATGCGTCTTGCTGGGCATGAGGCCCGTTTCCACTCTTGTTTGTTTCCTGTGAATTATACTCATACTTTTTGATTTACCAGCGCATCGTACGGAGTGGAGCGGGTTGTCATAACTAGGAACGGGTGTACCCTCGCAGATAGTACTCCTACCCCAGTTCCCTGAGGCCTAGCCGACACCGAGCCAGTCCCGGAATACACGGACGGACTAGACTCGCTCGGAGCGGTGAAAATTCCGATCTCTAAGACTCACTGCGTACTTCCTGATCAAGGCCCGAAGTGGCTGGCTCCTGATCCACTGCTCCAACTTACACCTCGGCAGAGCAAGCTCACATCAGCCGTGGCCTGCATCGTCGGAAACTACGATACAGGTTCCGGTCACCCCCAGTGGGTCACAGCAGAGAACAATCGTCTTGCTAGGTCAGTTAGTGTGACCAACCCATTAAAGGGGAGTTTTGTCCACGGGAGCTTATTTTGTTTGGTTATTTTGTTTGGCTCCTACCCGCTGTACCTCATCAACTAAGAGATGTGTTAAATTAACACAGAAAATGTTAAATTTACACATAAAAGTGTTAAATATTTAACACAAAATTTTTTGACGCATTGACGCAAAATTTTTTACTGTGTATAATTATGGTTTTTGTGTTGGTTTATTCGACTTTAGACAAACACAAACGCGGATAATCGTGTTGCGCCCAGTTTTGTGTGGGTTTAT